ATGCTGACGATACCCAGCTATATTTATCCATTAACCCTGATGAACCTAATCGGTTGGGTAGATGACAGGCTTGTCTTGAGGACATACAAAAGTGGATGACTCTAAACTTTTTGCTTTTAAATCAAGACAAGACGGAAGTTCTGATCTTTGGACCAGAAATCCAGAAAAGGAAATTGCTTAGCCAATCGCCTGACCTGAATGGCATTACATTAATCTCTGAGAACAAAGCAAGGAACCTTGGTGATATCTTCGACCAGGACATGTCATTCAAATCCCAGGTTAAACAGGTTTGTAGGATTTCCTTTTTCCACCTTCGGGATATTGCTAAGATTAGAAGCATCCTTTCCAGGAGTGATGCTGAAAAACTAGTTCATGCATTTATTACATCAAGACTGGATTACTGTAATTCATTACTCTCAGGAAGTCCACAGAATGTAGTTAAAAGTCTTCAGCTTGTCCAAAATGCTGCAGCTAGAGTTCTGATGAGGATTAAAAAGAGAGATCATATCTCTCCTGTCTTAGCTTCCCTACATTGGCTACCTGTTAAATTCAGAATAGATTTTAAGATCCTTCTTCTCACATATAAAGCTCTTAATAATCAAGCTCCATCATACATCAGTGATCTGATTGTTCCATACGTTCCTAACCGAGCACTTCGCTCTCAGACTGCAGGTCTACTGGTGGTTCCCAGAATATCTAAAATTAGGATGGGAGGCAGATCTTTTAGTTATCAGGCTCCTCTCCTGTGGAACCAGCTCCCAGCTTTAGTCCGTGAGGCAGACACTTTGTCTACTTTTAAGACTAGGCTTAAAACATTTTTATTTGATAGGGCCTATGGTTAAAATCTGATGTTAGCCTAGATCTGGACAAGTGGGGGAGTACAGGGAGGTGGAGTGTACAGTCGGTAAAGATTGGTGATTTTAACATCCATATCTGCTGTCCTGACAATGTGCTTGCTAAAGGTTTTTTTTATTTGCTAGATTCATTTAATCTAACTCAATGGGTATCATCCCCAACTCATGCCAGGGGCCACACCCTGGACCTGGTTCTCTCTTTTGGTCTCCCCGTCATGAACCTTGTGACTTTGCCTCCTGTGTTCTCTGACCACTCTCCTATACTCTGTGATGTTACGTTGCCATGTCCTGTCCCTGTGTGTGAAGCTCCAGCTACTAGGTTCAGAGCCCTGGATGCAGAAACTATTTCAAAGTTTGTGGACTGTATGTCTGTAAGGTTAGAGACCTTTAACCCAGATCCATCTAACGTTGATCACTATTCACAACACTTTGATGTACTTTGTAATCAGATCCTGGACATGGTTGCCCCTCTCAAACTGTGCAAGTCTCGGCCTAGGAGGGAGCCTTGGCTCTCTGATGTCACACGGGCTTGCAGGCCGGCGTGTAGATCCTCTGAGAGAAAGTGGAAAAAGGATGGCCTACAGGTCTCGCGTGAGTTGTTCAGAGCATCTCTGGTTGCTTATCAGGATGCTGTGAGGGCCGCCAGAACGGCCTATTTTGCAGACATCATCGAAACAAGCTCCAAGAATCCCAGGATTCTGTACAAAACACTAAACTCAGTTCTGGTGTATCAGGAGCCGAGCTCCATGTCTCCTACAGCTGCTGGAAACTCTGAAGCTTTTCACAAATTCTTTGTTGATAAAGTGTCGGGCATTAGAGCAGTCATTTCTGGTAACTCTGTTGACCCTGTTCCAGTTCATCCATCACCACCCACCCTGAGCTCCCTCAATACTAGTTTAGTCTGTACCTTGAGCTCAGTCACATCCCCAGTGAGTCGTGGAGGATGGCTGCTTATACTGAGCCAGGATTCTCTGGAGGTTTCTTCCTGTTGAAAGGGAGTTTTCCTCTCCACTGTCGCTGCATGCTTGCTTAGTATGAGGATTGCTGTAAAGACTCTGACACTAGTCAGTGACTCGATGCGACCTGCTGGGTTCCTTATATAGGAAACTTGTTGCTGACTGGCTTAATGACCAGGGGTCTCATTTATCCAACACTGCGTAGAATCCTTACTAAAACCGTACTTAAGCTCAGCAAAAAAAAAGTACTCACACCAAGCAGGTTTGTGATCTATCAAACATGGAGGACGCACAGCTGCACGCAATCTCCGCTTCATAAATCAGAGACTAACGAGAATGTTTCTCAGCTGCATTTTAGTCACATCCCACCTTCACCACGCCCACTTTCTGCCATAAATAGTCAATGCAAAGGCAGAAACCTCATACAGCCATTACTACAGTGTCTTGACGACATAAAGGCTTGGATGTCTGAGAACTTTTTAAAATTCAATGATAAAAAGACTGAGGTGATGATTTTTGGTAGTCCTACTGAGACACCCAATGTGTTTGTAGATTCCTTGGCCCAGTTTGTTAAACCAACTGTCACCAACCTGGGGGTCAAAGTGGACTGTGATCTGAAGTTTGAACATCAGATTAGGGCGGTGGTAAAATCGAGCTTCTTTCACCTCAGGCAGCTGGCAAAAATAAAGCCAATTCTTTCACGGCAGCACTTTGAGACGGTGATCCACGCCTTTGTAACCACTCGGCTGGATTACTGTAACGCACTCTACATTGGGGTCAGTGCATCATGTATTAGTCACCTACAGAGGGTGCAAAATGCCGCAGCTCATCTTTTAACTGGCACTCGAAAGTTTGAGCACATGTCCCCCTGTTTTAGCTTCACTTCACTGGCTGCCCATTTCTTTTAGGATTCATTTTAAAGTTCTTTTATTTGCTTTTAAAGGTCTTCATGGCCTCGCCCCCTCTTATCTCTCTGACCTGATACAGCCTTACACTCCCTCCCGCTCTCTCAGGTCTGCTGATCAGCTGCTCCTGATTGTACCCAGGACTGAGCGTAAACTTAGAGGAGATCGCGCTTTTGCTGTTGCAGCTCCGAAACTGTGGAACGAACTTCCTTTAGAGATAAGACAGGCCAGTTCCTTCTCTGTTTGTAAGGCAGTCCTGAAAACACACCTCTTTACCCTGGCTTTTAATACCTTGTGAGATGTTGGTTTCTATTTTTTGTTTTATTTTTGCTGTTTTAGGTGATTCAAATGCGGTTTTATCAAGTTTTATCAAGTTTTTATTTTTTAATATAGGGCTAGTTTAATTTTATGTATCATGTGTTTTATTTATCTTTGCTGTTTTCTGTCTAGTCAATTGTTTTAATGTACTTTCTGTACAGCACTTTGTTCCTGTGCTGGGTCTTTTAAAGTGCTTTAGAAATAAACTGGATTGATTGATTGATTGATTGAATGCAAAGTGCCTTGTGGACCTCATGCATATACATAAGCCGGCTGTTGCAGCGCTCCACCAGTCACGATGGCGACTGTAGATCAAGGCAGATCAAGAAAGCGCAATTTCACAGAAGCAGAAGTTGAGGTACCTGTGGGTGAGGTGGAGAAGTGAAAGGAAGTGCTTTTTGGAGGTCACAGCAGTGGCAAAACAAATAAGAGAAAATCATCAGAGTGGCACAGCGTTGCTGAAGCCGTCAATGCTGTGAGTTTGCCAGAGAGATCTGTGGCGGATATTAAAAAGAAATGGTCCGACCTGAAGGAGGAGGCAAAGAAAAAAAAAGATGTTTTGCGGCCGCCAGGGTGTGTCTGCCACTGGCGTAGGCGCTGGCACCTCTGATCTCCCACCGCTCGCTGTTACGATCTCAGCAGTACTCGGACTGGCAAGCGTGCGTGGCATCGTGCCGGAGAAGGAGGGAGACACTGACCATGCAGAGGAAACTGGTAACGTTTAAGCCTTTTAGTAATACAAATCAAATGTGTCCATCATTAAAATATAAAACAAAACCAAATCTCGTTGTTCCCCCCAGTGACTCCGGACGAAGGGTCCAACGAGGCATCCCGGGCGACGACCGAAGATGTGGCTGCAGGGTCGGCCTGTCCCACCAGTGCGCTTCAGGTGCATGGCGTACCTGGAAGTGGCCGGGTGCTAACAGACGCTAGCCTGCAGGCACAGAGGGACAATATCAGTGCGGTTAACGAAGTGAGGGAAGAACTGCACAGAATATGTGACGTCCTGACTGGAATTTCAGGAACACTTAAGGAATTGGTGAAAAAATAAAATATGAAAATCATGCCTCCTGTGTTGGTTCTATAAACGACGCAAGACATTCTGTCTCAATCTGGCCCCCTGCTGATATTCCACATGTCGGGGCGGGGGCTGCACTTCAGGCTGCTCAAGGTGGGGAGGGGGAGGTAGACCCGATGGGAGAGGAATGTTGCTCCTCAGTGCGATGTTGTGCAGGACACCGCAGGCCAGAATTACTCTGCACACCTTTTTGGGTTGGTATAGCAGTCTGCCCCTGACACATCCAAACATCTCTGTAAAATGGGTTTATTCTCAATAGTTTAATTATAAAATTCAAAACTTAATATGCTTTAACACAAATGTTGTGCTGGTTCCACCAACTGGTGGATCTGAGTATTGCACATTGAGACACAGACTTTTGGAGACTTGAAGACGCAAGCTAGGAAAACGAACAACAAAGTGAATGAGGACTGAAACGTTCATGGTGTGAAACATGCTTCATTCACTAATATAGGTTAGTTTACTAGTGTGTAAAAACAGACTTTGTGAAAGTGCTGATTTAGAAAAGGGACAAGAGTGAGTGCTTTGGAATTGTAGTTACTTTCCAGCTGTTGATTAGAACATGTTTAAAACACTAATAATAATTAATAAATACCACGAGGATTGTCTCCAGCTGCCCCAGAGGCGAGTCTGGGCCGTGTGTGTGTGTGTGTGTGTGTGTGTGTGTGTGTGTGTGTGTGTGTGTGTGTGTGTGTGTGTGTGTGTGTGTGTGTGTGTGTGTGTGTGTGTGTGTGTGTGTGTGTGTGTGTGTGTGTGTGTGTGTGTGTGTGTGTGTGTGTGTGTGTGTGTGTGTGTGTGTGTGTGTGTGCTGCTGCTGCTGACAGAAACAACAGCAGGCAGTCCTGATGCACCTACACCTTTCACTCATCTGGGCTGTCTTTCTCTGCAGCTGCTGAAGAAACTGTACCGGCTGCTGAACAACATCGTGGTGATCTTTATTCCGTGGGAAGTACGGATCAAGAAAATTGAAAGTGAGTCATTTATTTATTTCAGCAATGCAGGAAAACTAAGTGGCTGTGATTTAAACAACATGAGCTGTTTTGAGGATTTCCTACAGTCACAAACCAACATCTACCAGAGCTGGAGCTCAGGTCTAGCGGAGAAACTTCTCTGTGTGGAATTGTCATGCAGGCCTATCTGAGGCAGAGAGCTGCCTTTTCCTCATTCTTAGAACTGTTTATGGACGAGGTCATGATTCACTAGAAGCTGTAAAATAACCCAACTCGGTCGAGTTGAGAGTAAAATACATCTACTAGAATTATGATTTGAGATGGTTGAAGGTGTCTGAAGAGTTCCCAGTTTGAACCTGTTTCTTCTGTCTTTGGAAGGTCATTTTGGATCAGGTGTGGCCTCATATTTTATTTTCCTACGCTGGCTGTTCGGCATCAATATTGTCCTCACCATCATGACCGGAGCATTTGTTGTCCTACCAGAGGTTAGTGGATCTCTACCAGAGCGCGCGCGCGCGCACACACACACACACACACACACACACACACACACACCTACGGTGGTCTGTGGTGTGGATGATGCTAGACCAGAGAAACCAAACCTGAGGAGAAAAGAAAGACATTTATACATCACCAAGTTAAAGTGAAGGTCACAAGAACTTCTCCAAGAAGCTTCATGTTTGAATTGTTTATTTATAGCGCACTTTCCCACATGCAGTCAAGAAGGCCCTAGGTGCTGTATATAATGCAAGGATCAAGGGTGTGTCGGTGCAGCGCACCAGGGCGAGAGAGAGACAGAGAGAGAGAGAGAGAGAGAGTTTTTGAGATTCCATTTATTCACATCGCGATGCCATTGAACAAGAATTACAGTAACACTGTCCCAAATTCTAACTGTCCATCAACAACTTGCAGAGAACACCTCCCACAGCCCATGTCTGTATAAATCTGTCCACGTCATGCAGAGTTGAAGAGTATGCAAACTCTAGTAACAGCCTGGCTCTGACATTTATTGGCCATACTCTCACCACGTCACAAGCTTGCTCTTCCTGTAACTTATCCCTCCGAGAAAGATAAATTGCCAATTTGGCTTCACCCTTTAAAAAGTGCAGTACCCTTATGTGTTTTGTTCGATTTCATCCCACCAACAAAAGCTGTGGAAGAAAAAACTGTACCAATAACACCAAAAATATACTTAAATATGTCAGAAAGATGAGCAAGCCTCTTACAGTCATAAAAACATGAAAAATATTCTCAAAAAAATTACACAAAGGGCAAGCAGTAGACACATGAACATTCAACTAGGATACAAACGTGTTCGCTGCAGTTGCTCCATGTAAGATTCTCCACTGCAAGTCCCCAGGCCTTCTCTTCAGCGGAGAAACATAAAGTGTCGACCACATCAGAGCACGCCTTCCAAGTCTGTCCGGCCATACTGTGGATGATAGACCTTTCAGTTTCTCCATGTTAATGGTCTTTACACAGCTCACGCATAACGCTTGTGTCCCAGCATTGGGAAGGGACAGCTTCCCTCCACATGACAACTGTAGCAGTGGGCCATCCATGTCCACAAAAGGCACGGTCAAAAACAAGTCCAGGGGTCCATCAGTTGAGTTCGTTTCCAGTTCCTTTCCACAAAGTTTTTCCAGAGATGCCAGTTCTGTATCTGACAGTTTCCGTCTCCATAGTTCCAGCGCTCTCTGGGTCATGAGGACAGAGCTGACTCCAAGTGCCGAAGCCAGAACAGCAGCGTCTGACAAAGCGACTCCCGCCACTTTAATCAGCCTGCCTAGATCAACCAGTTAAAAGTGGTATAGCGCTCCCCGTAGGCCAGGCAAAGATTCATCACATACATCAAGTCTCGCACCATCAATCAAAGGCTCTTCAAATAGCCAGTGCGTAGACACATGCTCGCCTGTAGTCCATGTAAAAAGAGCACACACTCTAAAAAGGCCCTGATAAAACCTTAGTAAAGTACATAAAAATGGTAAATCAAAACCCATCAAAAACCATGCAAAGTCTAGATCGAAACCACCCAGATGCCTCAACACACAACCTGCCACACTTCTCCATACTAGAGGGAGTGCAGAATTAATTGGGCAAATGAGTATTTTGTCCACATCATCCTCTTCATGCATGTTGTCTTACTCCAAGCTGTCTAGGCTCGAAAGCCTGCTACCATTTAAGCATATTAGGTGATGTGCATCTCTGTCATGAGAAGGGGTGTGGTCTAATGACATCAACACCCTAAATCAGGTGTGCATAATTATTAGGCATCTTCCTTTCCTTTGGCTAAATGGGTCAAAAGAAGGGCTTGACAGGCTCAGAAAAGTCAAAAATAGTGAGATATCTTGCAGAGGGATGCAGCAGTCTTAAAACAGCAAAGCTTCTGAAGCGTGATCATCGAACAATCAAGCGTTACATTCAAAATAGTCAACAGGGTCGCAAGAAGCGTGTCGACAAACCAAGGCGCAAAATAACTGCCCATGAACTGAGAAAAGTCAAGCATGCAGCTGCCAAGATGCCACTTGCCACCAGTTTGGCCGTATTTCAGAGCTGCAGCATCACTGGAGTGCCCAAAAGCACAAGGTGTGCAATACTCAGAGACATGGCCAAGGTAAGAAAGGCTGAAAGACGACCACCACTGAACCAGACACACAAGCTGAAACGTCGAGACTGGGCCAAGAAATATCTCCAGACTGGTTTTTCTAAGGTTTTATGGACTGATGGAATGAGAGCGAGTCTTGATGAGCCAGATGGATGGGCCCGTGGCTGGACTGGTAAAGGGCAGAGAGCTCCAGTCTGACTCGCCAGCAAGGTGGAGGTGGAGTACTGGTTTGGGCTGGTATCATCAAAGATGAGCTTGTGGGGCCTTTTGGGGTTGAGGATGGAGTCGAGCTCAACTCCCAGTCCTACTGCCAGTTTCTGGAAGACACCTTCTTCAAGCAGTGGTACAGGAAGAAGTCTGCATCCATCAAGAAAAACATGGTTTTCATGCAGGACAATGCTCCATCACACGCGTCCAAGTACTCCACAGCGTGGCTGGCAAGAAATGGTATAAAAGAAGAAAAACTAATGACATGGCCTCCTTGTTCACCTGATCTGAACCCCATTGAGAACCTGTGGTCCATCATCACATGTGAGATTTACAAGGAGGGAAAACGGTACACCTCTCTGAACCGTGTCTGGGAGGCTGTGGTTGCTGCTTCACGCAATGTTGATGGTGAACAGATCAAAACACTGACAGAATCCATGGATGGCAGGCTTTTGAGTGTCCTTGCAAAGAAAGGTGGCTATACTGGTCGCTGATTTGTTTTTGTATTGTTTTTGAATGTCAGAAATGTATATTTGGGAATGTGGAGATGTTATACTGGTTTCACTGGTAAACATAAATAACTGAAATGGGTATATATTTGTTTTTTGTTAAGTTGCCTAATAATTATGCACAGTAATAGTCACCTGCACACACAGATATCCCCTAAAATGGCTACAACTAAAAACAAACTAAAAACTACTTCCAAAAACATTCAGCTTTGATATTAATGAGTTGTTTAGGTTCATTGAAAACATGGTTGTTGTTCAATAATACAATTATTCCTCAAAAATACAACTTGCCTAATGATTCTGCACTCCCTGTAAGTCTTAACCTGAACATGGCAGGCCTGCTAGCCAGCTGCACCAGACCCTGGCCCCCTTCCTCTCAAGATAGAAACAAGACATCCTGTGGGACCCAGTGCTATTTATCCCAGAATAAGTTTATCATGTCAGCCTGTATCCTGGCCAGCAGACTGCTTGGTGGGTCAAGGCACACGAGCTTGTGCCATAGCTGGGATGCTATCAAGTTATTTAAAACCAGCACTTTTCTTCTGTACAACATCTGCGGGCAAACTCACCTACACCTAGACATTTTTTCAATTACTTTCTCAAATGCCCCTTCCCAATTCTTCTTCATTATGCTTTCACTGCCTAAATACATGCCAAGATACTTCAGGCCGTCGTTCTGCCACAGCAGTTTTTGAGGCAGTATGAGGGAGCCATCCTCCCACCTGCCGACCAAGAGAGCATTACTCTTCCCCCAGTTCACTTTTGCAGAGGAAACCCTTTGAAATTTGCTCACAACAGTAGTTAGAGCGTCTACATCACTCTGATCCTGAGAAAGAGAGAGAGAGAGAGAGAGAGAGAGAGAGAGAGAGAGACTTTTTTGACTTTTAAATTATTTATTTTTCTTTACAAATCAACAATCAGCGTTATGACCGCAGCTAGTTTTCCACTAATAAAACCAGGAAACTTGGTAAACCAACAGTTTAGAAGTTAATCTTTAGGGATCCCTGTCGATCCAGCAGACAGAGCACCTGCCCGATCCCCCACACCGCTCTAAAGAAGTCCAGGTTCCCAGTAAGTTCATAGAAAGCATGTTCGATCTTTAAGCAAGCTTTCACCAGGCCCTTCAGGCTCCTCTCAGCATCAGTCCAGCTCTGTCCCACCATCTGGTTTTTCCTGGTTTTCCAGATGGCTATCTTTGCACATGCAAATAAAAAGTTGTCGTTGTCGTCGTCGTCTTCCTCCGCTTATCCGGGTCTGGGTCGCGGGGGCAGCATCCCAACTAGGGAGCTCCAGACCGTCCTCTCCCCAGCCTGCTCCACCAGCTCCTCCGGCAGGACCCCAAGGTGTTCCCGGACCAGATTGGAGATGTAACCTGTCCAACGTGTCCTGGGTCGACCCGGGGGCCTCCTGCCGGCAGGACATGCCCGAAACACCTCCTCGGGGAGGCGTCCAGGAGGCATCCTGACCAGATGCCCAAACCACCTCAACTGACTCCTTTCGATCCGGAGGAGCAGCAGTTCTACTCCGAGTCCCTCCCGAATGTCCGAGCTCCTCACCTTATCTCTAAGGCTGAGCCCGGCCACCCTACGGAGGAAACTCATTTCGGCCGCTTGTATCTGCGATATCGTTCTTTCGGTCATTACCCAAAGCTCATGACCATAGGTGAGGATTGGGATGTAGATCGACCGGTAAATCTAGAGCCTGGCTTTCTGGCTCAGCTCCCTCTTCACCACGACAGATCGGCTCAGCGTCCGCATCACTGCAGATGCTGAACCAATCCGCCTGTCGATCTCCCGATCCCTCCTACCCTCACTCATGAACAAGACCCCGAGATACTTAAACTCCTCCTCTTGAGGTAGGACCTCTCCCCCGACCCGGAGGTGGCAAGCCACCCTTTTCCGGTCGAGAACCATGGTCTCAGATTTGGAGGTGCTGATCCTCATCCCAGCTGCTTCACACTTGGCCGCGAACCTACCCAGCAAGAGCTGAAGGTCAGAGCTGGATGAAGCTAGGAGGACCACATCATCCGCAAAAAGCAGAGACGAGATTCTCCTGCCACCAAACTCGACACACTCCACACCACGGCTGCGCCTACAAATTCTGTCCGTAAAGGTTATGAACAGAACCGGTGACAAAGGGCAGCCCTGGCAGAGTCCAACCCTCA